CAACAATGAATTCCAAGTCACAATGCTGAAGATAAAAAGCCAGACACCAAAGAGTGTGTACTACATGATTCCATTGATATAAAAGTCTTAAAAAGTAAAAAACAAGTCTGATTCCAGAAAGCAGCCTGTTGCCTGGGGCTGGGTCAGGGTAGGGAGACTCACTGAAAAGTTACAGGAGGGTTGATGTAAATGTTCTATATGTTGATTAGGGTGGTGATTAATGTAACTTGTATGCATTTGTCAAAACTTATCAAACTGAGCATTTAAAATCTGTGCATTTCATTGTATGTAAATGATACCCGTGGTAGGCAAAATTTTGTCCCTCATAACCTTTGTCCTTTGGTGTTATGCCCAGTTATATGTTATGTTACATAGGAAATCAAAACAAAACAAAACAAAACAAAACAAAAACTCTGCAGATGGAATTAAGGTTGCGGTTGCTAATTAGCTAACCTTGAGATTGGGAGATTATTCTGAAATACATAGGTGGGCCCCATGTAATCACCAAGGTTCTTAAAAGTGGAAGAGGGAGGCAGAAAGGAAGTCAGAGAGATGTAGTGGAAATTGAAGTCAGGCAGATTCAAAATGTGAGAGACTTGATCCACTCTTGCTAGTTTGGAGATGGAGGGCACTACATGGAAATTGAGGGAAGGAAATGAATTCCAAATAAGCCTGGAAGTAGATTTTCCCCAGGGCCTCCAGTAAGGAAAACAAACCCTCTACAGATCTTGATATTGGTCTTGCATGACTCTGAGCAGAGTACCCAGTAGAACCCACCTGGACATCTGACCCACTGAAACTGAGATAATAAATGGTCATTCTTGCAAGCTGCTAAGTTTGAGGTAATTTGTTACACAGCAATAGGAAACTAATAGGATACTCAAAGTTGATCTAACTATTAAAAATAATTTGACAAGCAAAAAAAATACAATTAAAAATATGCCCTAAACGAAACCAAAGAGGATATTACAAACCATACTGAAAACAAAACCTATGGGATTTGGAAAAGTTGTCCTCAGAGAAAAAGACATGGCATTAAGTGCCTTCACTATTAAAAGCAAAGGACAAAATAAAGAAAAGAACATATTACTTTCCCTAAGATATTAGAAAAAATTCAGCACAATAAGCCAAAAGAAACTAAGAAGAGATCATTGATAAAGATAAAATCTAAAAATATAAATTAAATATTAAAAAAATAACTAGGAAGAACAAAGAAATCCAAAAGCTCATTTTTTCATAGACCACGATCAACAACAAAATAGACAAATCCCTGGCAAACCTGTTCATCGATAAAAAACAAATAGCAAAGATATAGGAATTTAAGAATGAGAAAGGGCACATAACTACAGATAATGTGGAGTAAAAGAATCATGAGGGAGTGCTATATGTAACACAGTGGCAACAAAGTTAAAAAAAAAAAAGGACATGATTTCCTGGAAAGGTATAAAATTATTAAAGCTGACTCAAAAAAAAAAAGTTGAAACTTGATTTGACTGATTATCATAGAAGATCCGGAAGAAATGACTAAAGATATTGCAAAAGTCACTTGGCCCAAGTGGATTTATAACTGAGTCTTATCTAACTTTTAAACAATAGATAATTCTAGTGTTATTTGAGCCATTCTAAGCAATAAAAAAGATGGAGCACTCACCAATTCATTTGACAAAGCTAATAAAACTTTCATACCAAAATCAAATAATAATAGTAAAAAATAAAGTGATAGATCAATCCCACATAATAAAGACACACAGTGTCTAAAGAAATATTAGTGCATAGAACCCAGCAATAATCAAGTCATATGACATTAGATTGTACTCCAAGAATGTAAGAGTATTCAATGTTAGGAAATGTATTGCCAACTATTTGCCCCATCAACATATTAAAGAATAAGATTCAGGTGATGCTAGGTGCTGAGCAGTAATTTCTAATCATAATTTCATGGCAAATGGGAATGGAAGTAACAGACTATCCAAAACAAGCAGCAAGTGTTATTCTAAAAGCAAACTATTAAGACTTTTTCAGGTAAAATCATGGATTAGACAGGAATGCTCGCTTTCAGCGCTATTACTTAACATTTTCTAATAAATTCAATAAGATAAGAAAAAGAAATAATTGGCTATAAACACTGGAAAAGAGCAAAAATCTGTCTCACTTTGCTCATTTTGGATATGATTCAATACCCATAGAGACTCTAGAGTAAAATTACTAGAATTAGTAAGAGAATTCAGTAAGGTAGCTACATTCAAGAAGAATATACACAAACAGATAGCATTTCTATATTCTGATACTAAATATCAAGAAATGGAAATAGGAGAAAACACTTTATTAACAATAGCAACACAGTTATAAAATTCATAGGGATAAATGTAAATAAATTATATATATTATATTAACAAAAGTAATAGATAAGTCTAATGAAATTCCAATTAGAATCACAACAGGGATTGGCTTTTTTTTTCATTTAAGATCTTGATTGACTTCATTAAAATTTTTTTAAAAATAATTGTTTTATTTTCAGTTAGAGTGACATACAATATTATATTAGTTTCAAGTGCACAACATAGTGATTAGACATTTATATAACTTATGAGGTGGTCAGAAAAATATTTTAACCTTTTTATGTGGAAGAATAAAATTTTTAAGAAATGCTAAGAAAGTACAGAAAGAACAGTGATGATCAATTGCACTTATCAGAAGATATTATAAATGCATTGTAATCAAATCAAAGCAAATCAAAATAGCAAGATAAAAGTAGATCATTGAAACAGCATAATGGATCCAGAAATAGATAGTGATATATGTGAGAATTTTATATGATGAATGTGCTTATTCAAATCAGTGGCAAAGATGTATTATTTGATAAATGGTGCTATCACAATAGGCTGTTCATCTGGATGGAGATAAACCTAGACAGATCCCACTCCTATACCATACACAAAAGTAATTATCATGCTAATTGAAGTCATAAATGTAAAAAGCAAATCAGTATATTTTTTGCAAGAAAATCTGAAAGAGGACACATATGACCTTATTGTGTAGAAAAAAAGCTATAAACAAAGTCAACAGACAAACAATAAGTCTTGGGGAAAATTGCAAGATACATCAGTATATTAATGTAGTGTAACAGAGTTAACACTTGTAATAATAAAAGGGTTCTCATAATTTAACAAAAAAGGAAACAGCGCAAATAAAATAATCAATGTAAATAATCAATCTCAAAATATAATTGCAATAGCCAACAATAATTTGAAAAGATGTTCAACCTTATCAGAAATAAAAGAAACATAATTAGAGTAATGATGCAATATCACTCTATACCTATTAGATGGGCAAACATTAGAAAGCAAGATTAAACTTACTGCTGATGTGAATGCAGGGAGAAGGGCATTCCCATACATGGATAGTAGAAACGTTTGAAAAGTTCTGACATTTTTGGAAATTAAAACTAAAAAGGAAATATTCACTTCATTCCAGCAATACTCCTCTTGAGAATCTGTCTCACAGGAATAAAAGCACCAGTATGTAATTGGATAGGCTATAATGGCCAAAAACCTGGAATAATATGGGATCTTATATGGCCATTAAAAAGAATAAATTGAAGCTATGCCAATTGACTTGGACGGAGTTCTACTAAGTGTTAATCAGCAAGAAATGTGTTATAATATCCCACTGTTGTAAAACAAAAACAAAACAAAAAACCACTAATGGCCAAAAAATATTTATTTGCATATATATGTACATATGTGTGTGCATGAATATACAGAGGATGCCAAAAAATGTATACACATTTCAAGAAAGGCAAAAACTATATTAAAATTGTAACACTCAATATATACCAATAACAAAAGATGAATACAAGTCATCTGTATTCATTTTGAGGGCACCCCCAGTATATTATTATACTAGGGTTACCTGGTTGGGGATAAGCAAGAAGTGAGCTAATGTGAACGGAGGGTGGGGAGCCAAAGAGAAATAAAAATTACTATAAATTATGTATGACATGACCACATTTAATATCCACATTGCCACTATATATGTACTGAGTTTAAATTTGTATAATACACATCCAAAGAAAACAACGAAATTTAAAATACATGATTTCAGCAGTCAACTTAATAAGCAAAAAATAGATCAACAAAATAAACCAAAGGAAATTAGGAAGAAGAAATGAAACAATAAAAGTAAAAGCAGAAATCGATAGAACCAAAAAAAGATGGTTCCTGACAAGACCAGTAAAACTGAGAAACTTCCTGGAAATATTATTTTTAAGAGAGGCAAAGAGAACATAGACAATGTAAGAATGAAAAAGGAGATAACTACAGACACGGAACAGTTTAACAATATCACAAGACCATCATGTAATTTGATACCAATATATTATCAAATCTAGGAATAACTGCTTTCCAGGAAAATACATGTTACTTAATTTGACTGAAGAAGAGGTAGAAAAATATGAACAAATAGATGATCATAGATAATATTGAAAAAGTTATTTAATACTACTGTCCCAAAATGCACCAGAACCCTCCAAAGATGAAAAGCTTCTGAACGCATGGCTAATACTATCCTTACACCAAAACTGGGCAAAGATATCAAAATCACACCACACACACATACAATAGAACTAGAGACTAAACTTGTGTGTAATATTGATGGGCTCTCAATTCTCTGCTCCTTGCTATAGAAGCTTTGTTCTCTCTCTCACGCTCTTTGCCTCTTTGCCCTTCCTCTACTTTGTCCTCTAGCTTCCAGGGTGGCAGCATGTGACAATGAGAAGCAATGGACAAAACAGAACAAAATATCAATGAATAGGCCAGATCTATTTTAAGGGTTGGCAATTAGCATTTGTGCTAATAGCACAGATACATGCACGCCTTACCTGGAAAGGCCTTTTCAGAGCTTAACTAGCATCAAGCCATCCTAACCCGATGTCTGCACCTTCCTCCAACCAGAGTCACATCCCCACAATCCTGGTGGGAGCCCATAGAACATGGCTTTACCTTGTATCCATGTGCAGCTCACTGAGCAGTTCACTTTGCATGTAGTCCCAGGAAAGTTCCACCGCACCCAGGTAGTATCTTCTGGTCGCACTAAAGCTCAAGGGCAAAAGGCACAGAAAGAAGCAGGTGGAGAGCTCTATTTGCATGGCTCTTATGGCTAGAAAATGTTCAACTGGAGAAATGAAAGAGTAATGCTTCTCTAAAATATCTTCGGCTCCCAAGAGAAAAAACAAAAACTTTCTGTGATTTAGTGCAAAGTCCCGAAATTTTTGCAGAGAAGTTTAGGGAGCTTTATCTGCTGGATGTGACAGCAGCAGCACTAAGCAGTGAGGGACAAGATTGCTTCCTTTTTGGCAGTGGGAAGCAGCCACAGGAAGAACTCAATAGGGAAAAGGAGGCTGAGCTAAAGCTTAACCCATTCATCCCTGAGAGCAGTAGGGGCACAAGAACACTGCTTTAATGAGAACCTTTAAGGAAAGGGAAAGAGGGAGGGGGAGGTCAAGGTGAAGAGTACCTTTAATTCATACTCATATTCCTAGCCTACTCCAACCCACTCCCTTAGTTGCTGTAGTAAGAAAACTCTGGATGTTGTTGAAGATTCTGGAATCCACTTGCATAAGCAAGAGTAACCACTGTTCTAATAGTCTCCCTACTTCTACCCTTTCTCCTCACACAGCCACCACCATGTGACTTTTTAAAACTATAAATTGGGGGCCGGCCGAGTGGCACATTGATTAAGAGTTGGCTTGGGACGTCAGCTCTGAGCAGCCGGCCCCGGTTTGGATCCCACATGAGCTGGTGAACAACAGCTAAGATGGTGAACAACAGCTCTACCCGGAGCTGGGCTGCTGGGAGTCGCCGGCGACGGCGTAGGCTTCAGTGGGGCTGGCCGGCAGCGGGTGTGAGCTGCTGTGAACCGCTGTGAGCGGCTGTCCAGTGGCTGGCAAGCGACTGCCTCACCCGGGAAGAGCGCAATGATAATACCAACATGGGCCAGTGAAGCGACGTCCTCCACAACTAGACTGAAGAACAAAAGGACAGCAACTTGCCTGTTCCCTTCCCCTGATTCCCCAATAAAATCTTTCAATAATAATAATAAAAAAACAACTATAAATTGGATCCTGTCACTCCTTTGCTGAGAAGCCTCCACTGGCTCCTCACCTCACAGTAAAATCCTACTTCTCTACTAGGGTCTAGAACATCTGCCATGATCTGTATGTTTCTTCCCCCAACCTCCCGTGGTCTCATCTCTCTCTGGCTACTGGCCTCTTTGCTTTTTATTAAAATGCAAAGCACATTCTTGTGCATAAACCTCAGCACTCACTATTTTCTCTACCTGAAACACTCTTCCCCCAGATCTCCATGCATTTCCAACTTCCGCATCTCCTTCAAGTCTTGGCTCAAATCTTGCCTTCTAAACGAGCTCAAATATGGACCACATTTACATAGTAAGCTCTCAACCCTCACTGGCACTACTAATATCCCTCCTAGCTTGATTTTCCTACATAGCACTCATCACCACCCACAATTTATGTATTTATTTATCTTGCATTTTTGTTACCTGATGCTTAAGGTTCTTTACATTTGACCCAGGTGTAGGATATATCTACATCATGTGGACCCTGAAGAAAGACTCTCGGTGGCTAACTGAGCTCAAATTTAAAAACAGAGGCTAGCAGCCTTTTCCAAACAGGGGCCTCTCATGCAAACTGCTCTTTAGGGAAAAGCCTGCAGTGAGCTGCCTACCTGCATTGTGGTCCTGCCATCTGAGCCAGCCCTTATAAAGTAGTTCCTGGAATCCTATTTCAATCAATAGGACTGAGGCTTTCCCCATCAAATTGGAGCTGCACAACTATATCCCCATCAGTATCTTCACTGACCAATCAGAGTGGCTCCATTCTGACCAATCAGGACAGTGCCTTTTGGACCAATCAAACTGGGAGGATTTGGAGCTCGCGTTTGCATGAGGACAGACCAGTCAGGAAACAGGGAAAGGGACTTCTGTCTATATAAACTCCCTTCTGGTCAGAGAGTGTACTTTCCCTTTCCAGTGAAGACTGTGCTCCCTGGGGGGAGCTGACACACCAAAGGTGAAACATCAAAGAAGATGAAACACCAAAGATGTCCCCTCAGAGCAGGGAAGAACAGGCAGAGTAGGGCAAACCAGACAAGACCAGACCAGACCTGTGTGGAGCAGAGCTGTCTAGACAGAGAGAGGCCTGGCCTAGGCCCGACTTGCCCCAGGTCTGCCTTGCAGCCGTGTTGCTTAATAATTGAGCTATTACATTATTGAGCTTTTCCAGAGTGGTGCTGTTCTCACAGCTGTGCTGTATCACAGTTGAACTTTTTACACTGAATAAAATTTCCCTCTTCACTGCACCCCAAATTGGAGATTCCTGTTGGTATTGAAATGACACCAATGACCATCAGTTGAGAGTCAGAACATAGCCATGCTTAATTCAAGCAGAGCCTCTAATCAGGTTAGTGTATTGGGTTGTCGGAAAAGTCATGACACATTTTTGCAATGAAAACTTAGAAAACATACATCATGACTTTTCCAACAACCCAATATATTGGGGCAATGAGTGCCTCCCCAAGGGCCTCAGAATATGGGAGCTAATAAGAAACTTGACCAGGGTTGCAATGAGAAGTGCTATCACTGAGTGTCCAGCTCTGCAAAGATAAGAATGTTTTTGGGAGCAACTGGCAAGGTGTTGTGCAGCTTGGAAATAAGAGAGAAGAAGGTCCTTTGGTAAACATTTGCTGTACTTTCTCTCCACCAGGTATCAAGATGCAGAAGTAATAGCTGGTATACACTACATGCTAGGAACTGTTTGTTCTAAGTGCTTTCTAATGCAGCTGCTATTCTTAATCTTCATTTTACAGGTGATGAAACTGAAGCACAGAGAGATTAGGTAACTTCGCCATGGTCACACAGTTTGTAAGTGGCAGCATTCAAACCCATGTAATCTGGCTCCAGAAATCATGCTCCCAACCCCTATGCCTCAGAGATGAATGAAATCCAGTTCTTGCCTTCTGGGAGACGTAGTCCAAAGGGGGAGACAGAGAAATAGATGGATAGTTACAATACAAGGTGATAAATTCTTTGCCAGATGCTTCACACATTATCTGATTTAATCCTTACAACGAGACTACAAAACGAGTATGCACACACAGCATTGGAGGTGCAAAGAGGTTAACTGGTTTGCCTAAGGCTATGCAACCACCCATTTGTCCCAGCTAGATGCTGGGTACAGCTAGGTCCTAGGTACAGGGTGCGCAATAATGAAAAATATAAACAACTGAGAGACAATAAGCAATACTTACAATACATGAGTACCTTATACACTATGATAGGAGAGAAAATAAATGCTATGAACAAAAGGAAAGTACACTCGGCCCTCCTTATCCATGGGTTTCGCCTCCCTGGTTGGAAATCCTCAGATGCGGAGGGCCAATGGTATGCACTGTTCTACGCCACTTTATATGAGATTTGAGCGTCCTCAGGTATTGGTATCCATGAGTGTAACAGTGACACTATAGCTGCTCTTTTGAGATTTAAACCTCTAGTGTAATTCGATTTTACAGTGTAGTTTAGCTTGGGACTTTTTTTTTTTTAAGATTTTTATT